TATAATTGACCAGATACTCGATTTGTACTAAGTGAATTTTCAATTGGATCACTGCATCACATTCTTATAATCAGTAAAACTTATTTTAATTAATCTTGAAATTTGTCACATATAGCTTTTATACTCACTTGTTTGTAAAAAGTAGTTTTACATGACAAAATTCCGGTCTGACATAGACAAATCTCCACTATATTGTTCACTGGTGAAGCCTTCAAGGAAGAATAATCTTTAAACAGGAGTAACGAAATAACAAAACGCTTTAATATAATATTACGCCGTAACTGATAAGTTATGACGTATTGACGTAATTGTTTATGAATACACGCGGCATGCTTTTCTTTTATAGTCTGTCATAATAGAATATTGCCAAACTGTTTATTTTCGAAAGATTATTATTTTTCACTTTTTAATAGGTGCTATTTTATTTAAAAAAAAAAAAAATAAAACCATGTTTTTACATTTATTTTACTTCATATTTAACTTTTTAATCATTATTTAACTAATTATTGTTACGAAAAATGCGAGTGCATACAAAATTTCAAATTGATTGGACCACGGAAAGTGGTATATTTCTGTTATCTATATTATGTTGTGTGTTATTTTTTTTGTTTGTGTAATATTATTATTTATGAATACCGTAATTTTTATTTACTTCAATTTATCTATTTTTCAATTCGTTGACAATCAATGCTAAATTTTAAAACTATATATTTTGTATAACTCCTTGCTTCCCACACGAGTTATAAGCTTAGAGGAGATAGATAAAATAAGTAACAAAACAATGTATATATTTATAAATACATAAGTATATATTAAAACTACCTATTTATAAATCATTTCGAGTTGTGACAACACGACGTGTTTAATTAAATACGGTCTAAATAACCACTTAATCATTACCTTAAATTTAATTATAATACACTCGCACATTCGGAAAATGGAATTTTCAATTATAATATCAATTATATGATTGCCAGTTATTATACATAATCAATGCCTATGTGAAGATTCATTTAATTTTTAACGTGAAATGGAAAAAAAAAAATATATATATTTGAATTGACATACGAAACATTATCAAAATACACAAAATCTACGCAATCAAGTAAAAATACCCAAAGGAGACAATAATTTAAAAATTAAATCAAATCACCTACAATTGTATCGCCATAATAATACTTCCGAGTCGGTGGTGGCATATGGACTACCAGTTTTAAATTTTAGTCGACTGTGTGTTAGATACTATTTATGCAGTTTGAAATGATAAATACAATTTCGAAAAAAAAGTACATTTCTATTAATTTGTTACGGTTTCAGTACACCCACGAGTATATAGGTTTATTTAACTGTAAAATGGGTAAACCCATGGGTACATGTGTGCGGGTTAGTGTATTTTGATTTTGTCGTTGAAATGGTCAACTGTGCACAATAGTCAATGCGTCTAAATAAATAATTAATTATTGTATTTCTCGATAACGTAAGGCGATATTATCACGTGCGATGGTCGACGAATATAATATAGTGGGCATATTATTTTAAACGTCTCAATATGTTTTATTTTCTGTTCTGAACAAACAATAAAATGTTTTTCTACTAAACAGTGTTGTAAAGCAAACAGTATCGTGAGAAAATCTTGTCCCGGGGTCCTTCACACAACAATGTTATTACAATAATATCTGGTGGGTGTATCGAACAACATTATATAGAAAGGATATAAATTCCAAGCGATGCTAATCTAAACATAATAATATTTCGTAACCACTTCACACCCCTTTGATATTGCAGCCAGGTACGTTATATTATTATATCGTTTTATTTCTATACTCGTATTGATTTACACGACGCCTTTTATATTCTGTGCGGAGCGACGGATGTATTTGTTTTACAACGATGTTTATTTTTTTTTTTCTCACAACAACTTTTCTATCAGAAATTTTGCTCCGGTTTTAATGTACAACACTTTTTCTAAAATAAATTTGACTGGGGTCATTTTTATCGGGAAGTCGTTTTTTTTAAATTTTTCTAAGGGTTTTCATAACAAATGGGAAAACTCGCGAAAAAATGTAAGGAAAACGAGAAAACGAACGCAATTTATTATTTTAAAATCGTCAATATTACGGCTTTTCAAAAAATTTGTAGCCGAACTTCACTCAGAACAGACATGGATCAAGACCAAAGATCTAGTGGGGGGGGCAATTATTTGTTTACAACATAAATACAATTAAAATATAATATACCTAATACATTATGTATATTATTTTCACATACATATCAGTGATTAGAATATTGTAATATCAGGATCTATAGAATTATAAAAATAAAAATCTGACAAATAATATGTCTGGGGGCCTGGACCCCTAGACTCCCCCAGAAATTTAAATGCAGCGCCTTTTCTGAAAGTTCATACATTTCCCGCTTTTCCTTCGATTTTTTTTTGGTTTTTCACATTTGATAAAAACACTCTTGAAAAAATTGAAAAATGACCTACCTAAAGTACCCCCCCCCACACCGGTTTCCTTTCAGAAAAGGGGTGATTGTGGTATATTTTATAATGTACTATGTAAGAGTCTTGTAAAATTGTTTTTCTGAGCGAATTTAACGACTTTTTGAATAATTGAATCGATTTAGCTTTGCGCTTACAAAATTACAATGTTCATTGATTAAAATAATAAATTTTCGTGTACCTTATAGTTTTTTTTCTTTACGAAAACAACATTACCTATAACTAATTATAATTATATCCCCCTCCTCCCCCGAATATAAAAACACTGGACACACCACTGTATACTACCTATACTCGTACCTATTATACTACTTTTTCATTTATACGAATAAAACTTGTTTGGCTCCATAAAAATACTACACGCAGTTCCATACAAGGTTCGTCGTTAGTCATAAAATGAATAAATATCCGGTTGTACATGAATATAGTAAACAAAAAAAACACCATACAATGGCGTAGTTTTGATTTTTAAATCATGAGTATTAACGCGCTCCCCCTTTTGTATAATCCGGTACACTTAGCGTACCCGCGTTTCGCCTCCCCATATACTGTGGAAATTTTCTTCTTTTCTTTTTCTCTGTATTTTCCTTTACACACATTACAACTACAGCAGCAATGGGTTTTTGGTTCGACATGATATGTATACGAACTACGAAGTATTGCCAATGAATTCGCGATCGGTACGGTCATTCAATCTACTAACTGAAGGGACGGATCCTGTAAGGGGAAGCTAGGTGCCCAGGCCTCCCCAAGCATATTTTTTTCTCCGATTATTTATTTTTATAATTTTAAAGATCCTGATATTACTATATTTCAATCGCAGATATGTATAATAATATAATATATTATACGTATCTGTGATTTCAGTATTGTAATTTCATGATTACGTGTTAATTGTTGACACTACAAGAGTGCGCCACGTCGCCACCAAAGTTGGCTCCGGACAATCACAAATAGATTGTGGTTGATTAAACTATTATGTAAATATAATTAGAACCATAGACATGGGCATACATAGGAGGAGCAAGGAGAAGACATGTCCCCCCTGGCTTTTCCGTGTCTGTTATACATTTATTTATTGTAGTTATGATGATTAAGTACTATTGTAGGAAATAAGAATACAGTCATATAATATTATGCTACGTAAACTTACATATAGCAGTTAATAGGTTAACACGAATATGATTGAAAAAAATACAGTGCCCCTCCCCCTGGATTATCGAAGATGGACGCCCCGGACCATAGACATTGTAATTGTATGCGTATTGTAAAAAGAACTGTTGGGTTCCCCCCCTCCCCCGGATCTTTGCTCTGGATCCTTGCCTGCTACCGAGAGGAACACGTTTTACAAAATATGTACACGACGAGCCATAGATTGGTCCGAGTATAGATTAGCTCTACACGCTCTCTTGGACCGTTCCGTGTAGAGTACATTTCTCCATGGCGTAAAGGTAAACACACTTATACGCAGTGCAGCCTATAGCCTATAGATCGGTATCTAGCTCCAGCTATGTTTTTATTATAATATCGGCTGCGGCGGCAGACGACGGTGGAGCCGCGTTTCGGATATTGTGTACCCAATATAATATCTAGGGTTGCCAAACGTCCAACATCGGGGATGATTGTCCTACATTCATTTGATTTGTTCTACATCCGAAAATGCTTTAAACTTCATGCAGGACAATCCTACGATATGGTATACAAAATTCTCGTATCACGTATTTGTGGTCACACTTCTCCGGAACGACATGACCGAGTTTAATGACATTTTTTTTTTGTATATTTGGTAGGTATGAGAATAGGCTGTAAGTCATTTTCACCCTCTTAACCCCTCCCACCATTTTTTAATCGTGATTTTAGTATTCTAATCCAGTTTTTAGGTATTATTAAATTATTTATTTTTACGGATTACCTTAGTTATACGGATGAAATGAAAACAAAAATGTAACATTTTGGTCAAAACTTATCTATGGTAATTAATATGAATAAAAATAATTCTAAAGATCTGTGTGCCATATTATTTTATGCGATAAAATGTAACGCCGTGAACTGTCTCCGCGTAATTTTATCAGTAAGACAGTAAGTACAACAATTTTGTCTATTTGCGTGTGCGGTACAATTAAGTATAAACAATGCCAGCAAGAAGCAAGGGGGCCGTCGAACGAATAAAGCAACACGCATACGAAATTTAAGAGCAGAAAGAACAGACGAATAAATCCAACAAGATGACGAAAATGTGAGCATGTCGCAATTTCGTGCATCTCAATCACAAGAGGCATGAGCTGAACGCAATGAACAACGACGATTGGAGCAAAGACAAGCGCGCCGTGCCTTAGCGGACACAAATAATACACCAAATAATTTAGCTTAAAAAAATGATAAAAAAATGGCACGGGCAACGCAGGGCGGGACAGCTAGTATATATATATATATATATATACGATGTCTGGCAATTAAATAACGAGACTGCTTATGAAAAATGGTTTTATTTTAAAAATTATTCCACAACCAAATGTTCCCCTTCAGTATACTCTCCTCCCTTCTTCACACACCGTTTCATTCGTTTCTTCCATCGCTCGAGGCAGTGCTGGAAGTCTGTTTTCGTAAGACCATTCAGGAGTTCCGCCGATTTTTGTTTCACCTCTTCCATCGACTCAAACCGGATTCCTTTTAAGGCAGACTTTATCTTCGGAAACAAGTAAAAGTCGCAGGGTGCCAAGTCGGGTGAGTAAGACGCGTGTTCGAGTACTGGAGTACCTTAAGCGGCCAAATAACGCTTCACAGACAGCGCATTATGGGCAGGTGCATTATCCTGGTGGTCACGGCTTGTTTTTCCACAATATCGACCGTTTCTTACGAACTCATTCGCGCAATGTTGCCAAAACTGTCAAATAGTAATGTTGGTTCACAGTTTGACCCTCTGGAACCCATTCAGTCATCACGATGCCGTTGATATCGAAGAAAACGATCAGCATGGTTTTGAATTTGGATTACGACTGAATTGGATTCCGGTGCACTCTCGACCTTCAGAAAATAATTTATGCCACTCAAAAACACGCGCCCGAGATAGGAAATCCTCACTATAGGCCTCTTTTAACAACTTATAGCACTCAGTTGGAGTTTTTTTTTAGTTTAACGAGAACATTTTACGTTTATCCGTTGCTCATGTTTTTCGTCACACATCGTTTTCGGCAAGAGAAAAAAACACGTTCGTTTCTAAACGCTACAGAAAAAATACTAATGCACCAACAAAAACCCGATTTCGTACTGGCATAATAGACACTTCCAGCTAACCAGCGCTGTATTCGGTTTTCCCCTAACCTTTTTGGGACGCTCTCTGCGCGCGCAGTGTCGTTATTTAATAGCCAACCCTCGTATATATTTGTAGACTTTAATGGGTTATACCGGTTATAATTTAGGGTATACGAAAAAATACCTATCAATGGTTCGTTATTAGGTATATACCTTTTAATTTATTAAGTTATCGTTGGTCACCATTGACAATAAATAATTATATATGTATCGCGTATCTCAATTTCATTATTTGTATCAATAAGATTTGATAATTATTGTGCGAAAAATCAACTGTTAATAGATTATTAAGTAACGTACTGCAGGTACACATTATAGTTTATAGATATTTTGCGAAACAAATGCGCCCGCCTATTCACTGACGTAATGTATCTGATACACGGCGGGCACGCGATTGTCCGGGTCACACGGGTAATTGAACAGGAGATCAGAAAAAAAAAAAAAAAAAACGGTGAAAACAAAACAAACACAGGAAACGATCGACGTTAACAGCCGTAACACCTGTTCTGCCGGCGTGGCATTTTCATTGAACTCGGAAGAAAACGCGACGCGGAAAACATTGTCCTTCGCCCCTTCGAGAGCCGGCAGCCCGCCTCCCCCCCCCCTCGCGCCGCGTAATCGCGTATCGCGCGCGTCCGGGGCGGGCGACGATAACTCCGCGTACCGCGTCACGTTACTTATTATAACAGGCGCCCGTGTAACGTGTCCAACAGCGCTGCAATACGCGCGCGCNAAAAAAAAAAAAAAAAAAAGTCCGCGTCCGACGATAATATAAACGCACACACACACACACACGTACGCGTACGCGCACATTGTCACGTTATTATTGGCGCACTACCGCAGCACGCACACGTATTCGGACGCGCGCGCACGCTCACAGTCGCTTGCACGCGCACAACAGACGTCGCGTTAAATGACGTGTGACAAGGCCCCGCGGGCGGGCGGGTCTCACTCTCTCTCTCTCACTTTTGTGGCGCGCCGGCGGAGCTTTTCCCGCCGCACCGCCGGAAGGGTGGCGGGGGGTGGGAGGAGGGATGCGCGCGCGGCGGGTAGGTGCGAGACGGCGGCGCGCGGAGGTTAAACGGGGATTACGCCGTCGCGGATCATCGCGGGCGGGTATATTTTGTAATAAATATCCGCGCGCAGTGCACAGCGCGCACGCGGGCGCGCGGGGAAAGGCGAAAAATATGGAAATGTGTAAAAATCGTCGTCCCGCGCGTGTTGACAGACAACCGTCCGTCGCCGACAAAAGGCCCGGCGGCGGCGGCGTGACGTACGAGAAAATAATAATATAATAATATAAATGCGTGGTTTTTTTCTTAGTTTTTTTTTTCTCTCTCTCTCTCTCTCTCTCTCTCTCTCTCTCTCTCTCTCTCTCTCCCCCCGCTCGTAACGTAATATCCAAAAACGCTTTTCAAAAGAATTTAAACCGAACGGTATAACAATGTCTGCACGGCGTACGCGTACGAATATACCGCCTAATATATTTCATTATTTTTATTTTGAGTGACGCGCGAAATATCGTATCACTCCGTTGCGCGCAGAGGGAGGAGATCCCCGGCCCGTTCCCCCCGCCCCGCCGCCACCGCCGTCTGCCCGGCACTCGCGCGCTCGGCGGGAGATTATATTGCGCGTGTCAACTTTTTACCGGTTAACGGTTGTGTCGCATTGTACGGTAGGCATACTGCGGAGTATCAGTGCCGCGGAATAATTAGACGGCCATTCGAAACGCGACATTCCGTCAACTTCGGTGGTGGTGGGATGGGGGGGGGGAAAGAAAAACTAAATAATCGATCGACTCCGGTTCACTTCCGCGAACTGATGTCCGACAAGCGCCTGCGGCACCACTTTGGGGCCGCGTCCGTCTATCTACTCGATATCGCGACTCGTGGTTGGACTCGATAATATCTCGTGGTTCGCAAGTGCGTTGGTTTTATCGCGCAACCGAAAATCGCTTAGGAAGGAACGCCGAATTTCAACGGCATACAAAACACGACGTGTTCGGTCAACGATTTTTTTTTTTTTTTTACTCTGTCTATGAACGACTTTTCCACCAGAAATCTATAGTGTAGCGCCTTTTCTGAAAGGAAACGAAGTTTTTTAAAAGGAAATCTGGTTGGTGCGTTGAGGAAGCCATTTGTCGATTTGCATAACGATTGGGAAAAACCGGAAAAAAAATTATCGAAACGGCGGCAAATGTTTACAGCGCGCCGCGGCGTTCGTTACCGATTTTTTTTTTTTATATTTTCAATTCGACGTTTTCTACCACAGATATTTCTCTTGTATAGGAAAACGATAAGAGACCGTTTTCGTTACATTTTTAATCCAGGTGGGGAGTGAGTTATTTGTTTACATTATATTAAAAGGAAACGTCGGCTTTATCTCTTATATTTTGAACGTAAAATCGAATTTAAACGCAATTAACACAGTTTTGAGAAGATAATAATTTTGAGGGCTGTACGTAACTTTATCCTCAAAAAAATTATCGTACAAAAAACTTACAACCTAAAGTTATTTATTTCGTAGTCACAAAGACATTTTTTTTTTTTTTCTATAATACAAAATGTCTATATTTCTACACATTTGCTGTTTCATACTCTGTATACCTGCAGCGGCCGGTTTTAATTTTTAATTATCCGCGAGAATATACAAAATGTAGAGCAGTGTCAGCCTAGCACATCAAGGGTCTCTGGAACATTTTTTTTTTTTAGGGGCCTCCATAGGTGAAAAATTCATAGACCGCGGAAATCAATGCGAGATTTGGTAGAAAGTCGGTTTTTATTGGTCGATAATATTTCTAAAAAATAACAATGGATTTCGCGGATACATATGTATATACAAAATATAAATACTTTTATTTATACAAAAGTGATTTTTATCGTCATTTCAGTTTTCAGTAATTGTTGTACAAATACAACTTACACAATTATTAATATTGATAAATTAATATATTTTAATTTTATAAAATATAAAATATATTATTTAATACTTAATATTTTTTGTTTATATTTTATTATTCTACAACTAGCTGAAATCCCAATTGATAATAATTATTATTATCTTTTATAGCTTCACATAAGATAACGGGTTTTAAAGATTTTATCTATAATCATACAATTCAAGTCTAATTTTATTTAGATTCTGAGTTTAGCGAAGAATGTATTGGTTTTATAAAGATGTTTATTATCAGAAAGCATACTCCGATTATTAAGTATAGCCCTTTTTTTGAAAAGAAATGTTCTCTGAGTAGTACATTATAGTGGTCATTTTTTAAAATTCTTATTAATGTTCGAGATAATAAGGAAATTATTTTTTCTTAAAGTTCAAAAAGATTGAAAGATTAAAAATAAGGTATTGTCATTGGCAACCGTTTTTATTTATTTTTTGTTATTATTAAATTTTTATCATTTTAATCTTTTTCTACCAATCATTGTTGTCATAGAAACGCACATTGTAATCATATTACCATAATATAACATATACATTGTTGACAAAGCAACACTATCAACTGAACTCCGCTCAGAATCTTTTTTTCGTTAGCAACATAGTTTATCATTGTTTACAAATATACATTAAATTCCCATCTGTAACTTACCTTCCCAACTTCCCACCTACAACAGTGACTGTACCGAGTGCGGTGTAGGTACCCACGTGTGAATTATATCCATTTTTTTTAAATTTTTTTCTAACCAAAAATGTATCTAGAATTTATGCAATTGCATCATACACTAAATCATTATATACGTTTTTGTTATTATTTTTTATTTGCTTGCATAAATTTGCAGTTCAAATTACTTTTTCCAGAATCGCCAATAAAAGGTTTCCTCCGTGGTGAACAGGACCAAAATTACTGCAAAAAAAAAATATAAAAAAAAGTGTATACTTATAACTTGGCCGAAAAAAATATTATTATTATTAAAATAGGTTTTGCACTCTAAAACAAGTAAAGGTTATTATGTACACAGCCACGTCAAACTGCTGTTGAGCATTATTTTAATAATACAAATGAAATATGAAATAATCAAATAATCAATATGAAGAAAAAACTTAGCTAGAATTATTATACTTGATACAAATTCTTAATTCGCATACCTGTTTGTATACATTGATTTAAGTTCTTTTTAGAAGAAGCACTCAGAAGAAAAATGTGGTCAGGATTTATATAGCTAACTGCATCTATGTTCCGTCCCAATAACATTTTTTAATACCAAATTCTATCCCTGTCAAAATTAAATTTTACTAAATTAAAATATTATTAAAATAGTACATCGAAAAATAATAAATCCAATTACGCAGACGCACAAATAATGATTGAAAAATTTAAGGAAAACGATCCACCTATTTTTCCATCATTTTTCAAGCTTATTTCTCATTTTTTTTTTTTTTTTTTCTGAACAATTGGTGCCATTTTTCGGATATAAATGTATACACGTCGATAATGTTTATATAGGTATTGTATAATTCACAATGATACAATGTGTCTTATTTTTTATTCCGATTATTTTGTCGATATATTATTATAATACATATTAACACAGTGCGAAACGCGTGTTTTTTTTTATCGAAATCATTGCTATATTGTCAAGACATAAATAAAATGATTAATGGTCTCCCTTCTTTAAACGAACAAACCTTTTATGAAAAAAAACCCCTAAAAAAACAC